TTTAACCAGAAAGCTGTACACCAGACCAAGACAACTGAACCCCATGTACAAGCATACCGGGAACACGAAACCCTACACTCCCACGCTACATCTACGCAGAAAATTTGTTCAAATAGGCCACTCTTTTCTTATAAACTAAAACTAAAACTACAAACTACAAACTAAAACTACAAGCCACTCTTTTCAGTAGTGTCTCCATGGCTTCCTTGCCTTCCTCCTTCCCAGCTCTCTGCTGCAGCAACATCTCTCCTTCCACTGGCAGCTGTTGTGTGTGTGCCAGCCTGTTGTGCTGTGTGATGAATTCCAAAGGGCCCACTAGAGGACCAAGCATTGAAGTATATTAGCCAAGCTTGATTTTAGATTATATCGAATCAAACCAAACGTAAAAAAAAGTAATTTACAATAAGTATTACAAAGTAAAAGTGCAAATTAAAATACAAGCAGTTAAAACCTTTAATAATTTAATTGATGAAAGTACTTAATGATTAGTGTTATAAAAATATATTCTGGTTTAAGTTCTTTATATTTTCCCTTAGCACATGGATTTGTAATCATTCAGTTTCCCCCAGCCTTGGAATATTTCCTATTTCACGAAAATTCATCTTTTACTAAACTTGCTTCAAGCCATGCAATTTGAAGATGTTCATGAACAACACATTTAAGAACCAAAGCTTGATTTGTGAAAATAGTTCCAAAACAGAAGCAGTAACTAACCCAAATATTACCAGTGCATGTACAAGTAAAAGCATGGTCTTTAATCTATATAGTGGTATAACTATATCATGATTTTATATATAACACAACATAAATTCACCTTGTCATTAGGATGCTTGCAATTATGTTATTAAAATATAAACAACATAAATTCACCTTGTATACAGCACCAAAACCTCCTTCTCCAAGTTTATTTTCAGCACTGAAATTTTTAGTTGCAACTTTCAAATCATTATATTTGTAGTTAAAGGTCCTCTTAACCTCAGTTGCTCCCAGTATTGTCACTTGCAACAGAACACAAGTTTAGATTTTGAAATAAATGATATAGATACCACTTTTCAGAATAAAATAATTGATAATAACAAATAAAAGGGTTGTGTTGTGGAGTATACTACATCAAATGCCAGAAAAGATTAACGCAAGATTAAATTGCCTTCGAACAAAACGCCCCAATTAATAATGCTTTTGGTAGCCTTGTCAGTAGTTCTATTTGAAAAAGACAATTAATCAGGAAAATAATGTATACCAAGCCGTTGCATGACAAGCTGAAAAAATTTCCACATAAATACATACTCTGTGAAACTTGTCAGATTTAGAAACAAAAAAAATTTTCAAACAGCAAAATCAAAGTGAATTTAAATATATTGAATGAATAGACAGATAGATACCTGAGGAAGCCATCGTTGACTAGATAACTCTGACGCGCCATTGGCCTTTGGAGACAGTTGCGGATTTGGGTGGAGTGGCAGTGTCGAAGCAATAAAGACATCATTTTTGAGAGATAGTTTTGCATTGAAAATCATTGTATATGTGAGCCAGCGTCATCCCCATTGATTTTTGTGGATGCTGCCAAAGAGTTGAGCGGAATACACGCGCCGATTGTCCTCATGTCGCCATCTCGTGTTGTTATTATCCGCGCCAACTCTCCCCTTAGCTGGCTATCCTCTGTCTCCACCAACCTTACCACTCGATTAATGCAACCTACAAATCAATCCCCTTCAATTTCACTACCAAATCGCAAACGCATTATCACCTCATTCACTCCACTCACACCATCTCCCTCATTTTTATTCCCCCCCCCATATATATATACGCCAACACTTCCCTCTTTCACAGCAATTCACCAACAACATTTCACTTTTTTCTTAGACAACATAAACAAATGGCCTCTCTTACATCCTTAAGCTTTCTCTTATGTTTATTTCTGGTTGTTTTAATTCTTCCTTTTAGTTCAGCCAGCAAACTCACTGAGTCAGAGCCCCAACTGAAGTTCCAATTCCACAGAGCACCTCTTCTCACAGTAAAATCTCCGTCAACATCATTTGTTATGGCAAGTTCAAACCTTCCTAAAAATCCATACTCACTAACTTCATCATCTCCCTTTCATCTCCCAAACCCGTCAACATCATCCCCCTTTCATCATCCCAATTGCTTCCTAGGGATTTTTTTATATTGTTTTAAAACATTAAAGTTGGTTTATAGTGTTCGTGAATATATATGTAAGGATTTTTATTTTGATATTCAAATAGACAGGGAAGCCTGATGTACATATTTGTCATGCAGGGATTCTCAAATAGTAAATGAGCGTATTGTTCTCCAAACTTCTTTCCAACAAAAAAAGAATAACAGAAAAAGAATAACAATGCTACTGGATATTTCATAACAAAAAAACAAAACACAACCAACTGATATTTGGCCCACCATGAAGGGAAGCGAAATAAAGGCAATGTTTATGAAAAGTAAAATCATTAGAGAAGAGTAATACTTACATATCGAGGCGGATCGACGAGGAACCATGGAAACTGGCACAGATCGAGCTAATCGAAGAAGAGAACAGCGGATGACGGAAACAGAGTGTAAACCCTAGATTGAATGGTTTGTCGGTGTACATTCTAGGGTTAGGGATTTGGGATGTTTTGATTGCGTGGAGAGAAAGGATTCAACGATTGAACTGGATGGAATGGAATGAACAGCCGGTTTTAATCGGGCAAAAGATAGCACAATCGGTGAAAAATGGATTCTTTGGTGGATTAGGCCAAGGTAAGGGAGAAGTACAGGAGAATGAGATCTAGAGACTAACCATGGCTGGGGGATTAAGATCTGAGGCGGAGGAAACTTGAAATATGGATCGAAGACGAGGGAAGCTTTGACAAAAAAAGAAATGTGTGCGGGTGGATCTCTCCAGAGAATGGCTAAATGAAGATGTGTGTTCGAATATCAAGCAAATTATCGAAGGCAAACGGCCTCAGTAAGCAGACATTACGAAGCGACAAATGGCCCTCGGTAATAAACCTTCGGTAATATGCGATTTTATTGTAGTGAGAGCCATATTCATCCAAGTTAGGCTAGACCTAAGTTAGTCATAGTTTGATTAAGACTAGGTTGAGTTGAGTCCACGTTAGCCGGTCAAGTTGGTTAGAACAAGCCGAGTCAAGCCAAGTCAACTAGCCTAGGTCAAAATGGGTTAGTCCAAGATGAGGTTGGGACAATCCACGTTCACCGGAGTTTCTCTTGACCTACTTTTAGTGAAGTTAGGCTACATACATGTATGTCTTATTTTGATTAAGATCAAGTTAGACCTAGCATGATCAAAATCTTGTCAAACCAAGTCTAAGTTAAGTCAAGTTAATCCTAACCTAAGTCAAATTAAGTAAGTCTAGGTTTGGTTGAGTCAAATCAACCTAGGCGGGTCAAGTTGTGACCTAGGTACAAGTCGAGCCAAGTTGGCCTAAGTTTCTTAAGCCAAGTTAATATAAATCCAAGTTGAGTCAGGATCACGTTCAACCAAGTTGGACTAAGCTCATATCAAGTGAAGTTTGATCAAGTGCAAGTTAAGTCAGGTTGGATTCAACTACAACCCAGACAAATCAAGTTAGATCTGACCCAGTTAAGTTGAGTTTGTGTTGGGTCGTAACATCGAGTTAGGATCATTAAGGTTAATTCTACATTAAATTGAGCCAACTATATCCTAATCTAAGTTAAGTTAGATTGACCTAAACCTATGTTGACCTAGACTAGAAAGATCAAAATATAAATTTTAAAATATGAAAATTTTCAAAATTTTACTTTTTTTACTGGAATTTAAAATTCTTTAATTCTCTGTAATTTATTTACTCTAATAATGAAAATTTAGAATTTCAATTTTTTTATTTGAAAAATATATTTTATTATAAAGCATTTCAAAAAAAATTTAAAAACATTTGCTCGCTTAAATTGATTTATTCAAATAAACTATAAATACATGATTCAATACTCTTATTTACGAACTTGTAGACAAAATTCATAAGTTAAAAGCTTATTTTGTACAAGGTAAAAGTAACATTTGGAATAAATTATGAAATAAATCCTCTTGTAAAATCCTACTGCAAATACACTTATACAAGTGAATTACAAGTCAACAGAAAAGTAAGATATCATTTATCCGTCATTATGAAAACAGGTTAAACATACATAAAGGTATGGTTGAATTATATATTATTATTTGTTTATTTATTACAATAATTAGCAAGAACGACGTCTAATATTGTAAAAGAAAAAGTTTTAAGTTTAATGATCGATTAGACGCAATTTTGGTTGAATGACTATGTGAAAAAGACTTTCGCAAACCTTATAAAAAAGTATTTCCCTCTTTAATGTTTAGAACACGCTAATATGAAATGGTTAAAAGATGAGAAACATTTAAAAAAATAACATTTTAACACACATAACTTTTAAAATTTATTTAAGTTTTTTTATTATTATTTTATTATTTTGAAAGATTATAAAATTTTATTCTTTTAAAATTATTTTACTTTTATTAGACATGTCAAATAAATGTTAATATATGTCATGTTACCCTTATTCAAATATTTATGCTTTAAATTTTTATATTGATTTGTTTATAAATTCAATTATTAACGAACCTTATGTGACTAAGTATTATTTGAACGGCATAAGAGGAACCATTCCTTGTAACAGTCATACATGTGCAAAAATTAAATAAGATAACAATTCATAAGTATAACTCATTCATATATATTCAACATGTGTTTTCTGGATTCTACAATTCGAAAGATTTTTTTTTAAAAAAAATAACTTTTGAATTGTGTAATTAAAATAAATTTTCAGGTTTGGAAATGACTTCGAAATTTCATAATTCGAAAGTCTAATTTAAAAAACAAAAATGATTATTTGACACGGTTAAAGGAATCTACATTCATTTCACACGCTGTGGGACCCAATAATTGTCAATGTCATTAAGGTTATATTGGTCATTTCAGTATGTGGGAAGCTGTTGAGGTGGTTTGTGAGAGACTGAATGAAACGTTGCGTTTGAGTGAATTGGAGCTGCTGATTTCAAAATTTCAAAGGGCGACCATTTCATTTTGAAAGCTGCAATTTTCATGCTAGGGTTAGGATTGAGAGAGAACGCAAGAAAGAAAGAAAAAGAGAGAAGTCCATGGTTGCCACCGGAGGGTGGACGTGATCGGAGACGTTCTTACCGGCAAAGTCGAAGGCGAAGGAGAAGTTGCTACTGGTCGTGAACGGTGTGCAGCGCGGAAGGTTTGTCCCCTTTGTATTTTCTTCCCTTTGTAGTGTTTGAAGAATAGAAAGTATATGATGTTGTTCTTCCTTTCTTCTTTTGTCATCATTTATCTATGTTTTCTTTAATTTTTAATTGGTTTTCGAAAACCCTAAACTAAAGGGGAAGGTTGTGAGAGAAAGTTGCGGTAGGGAGAAGAGCAAATGTTGAATCGGTAACAAGTTTGATAGCTGTTGAGTGAGATGCATTGAGAAAACAAGTTTGGTAGTTAGAGAGTGAACACAAGAGCGAAGAATGAGATACATGAAATTTGAAGCTAGGGTTGCGGAAAAGGGGAAATCGAACAAGGTATGTGGAGTTAAACTTTATGGTTTGTTGATTGTTTACGCATGGTTGTTAGTCGCTTATTGAATACTGTAAAATAGAGAAAAACGGTTAACCATATGTTATAACTGAAGAAAAGAATTTCAACATTAAAATTCGTAGCTGTCATTGGTTAGTATTGGTTTGAGTTTATAGTTTGGTAATTATAGCTTTATATTCCATGACCTTTTAACCATATGTTATAACTGAAGAAGATTATTATTTGTTCTGTACTTTATAGTTTGGTAATTCGTGTAGGTTTGATTAACATTTTGTGTACTTAATTTTTTGAACTTTTTTTTAATGTTGATATGTAATTATGGTGGAGGTTTTGATATTCTAAGATGGATAGATGTTGTTAATTTTAAAGCATAGCTCCTCTTGAGAGGGTTATTCTCTTAATTGTTCTTCCTGGTTACCAGTGGCTGGTGCAAAAGTTGTTTCCTATGGAGATTTTTGTTCAATTAGTGAAGTATGTACTTCATTTCTATCTTTATTCCGACTATTGAGGGGAGTATTATGTATGACTTTTACCCTATGATTAGAGGTTGAAAGAAAAGTAAAAAGACATTACGAAATTATTAAAATGGATTTAATGATGATTTATATATCAGGATTTAATTTTGAACCAAGTTTGATGACATTCTTTGATTGTTGCACTTGAGTTTATCTAGTTGAATAAGTCTATTAATGTTGATTATGTCAGGCTGTTATAAAGTAGTCATCATCCCAAAAAGAGCATAATGGTAGTGTGGTCCTTTGTGACGTAACATTCTAGTTTTGGAATCCACTGAGTCTCATTCAGCACTGTTCTTCAATATGCATTTTTAGGCTTAACCCTCTGATGGATTTGAAATTGTGTAAAGTCTTGGTCAATATTTTCCATCTTCATCTATTTATTTGGTTTCTTTCCTTTTCTTGTTTTTGTCATCATTAATGATTACAAATATCCATGTCACTTGATGTTCCTGTTTGTTATCGAGGTATACCTCATTTGTGGTCATCTTGTATGTTGTGATTCCACAATAAGGAGTACTACACTTATTATATATCAGTGGTAGATGAAATGAGATACGTGGAAAATATAATTATTATATATGTTGTTATTTTTCTTGGTTGATTGAACTTCTTTTGGGAATACATAATTTTTTATGTTGTTTTTATTGATAAGGGCAATTGAATTAACCATGTGCTTCATCAGAGATAAGGTTCACTACTGTTGGGGCTCGCATGCCTAAAGGAGTTCTTCTTGTTGGTCCTCCAGGAACTGGGAAGACCCTGTTAGTCAAGGCTATTGGTGGTGAAGCTGGTGTTCCATTTTTTTCAATATCTGGTTCTGAGTTTGTTGAGATGTTTGTTGAGATGTTTGTTGATGTTGGTGCTTCTTGAGTTCGTGATTTGTTCATGAAGGCCAAAGAGAACGCCCCTTGCATTGTCTTTGTTGATGAAATTGATGCTGTTGAAAGACAAAGAGGAACTGGAATTGGTGGAGGGAATGATGAAAAAGAGCAGACCCTCAACCAACTTTTGATAGAAATGGATGGTTTTGAGGGTAATACTGGTATCATTGTCATTGCAGCAACTAACAGGGCAGACATTCTTTACTCTGCCTTATTGAGACCAGGACGGTTTGATAGACAGGTATGATTATATTATGAAAGGCCTAAAGCTTTTTGTTAATGAGTAAATTACTGAACATCAATGCTTCTGCAGGTTACTGTTGATGTTCCAGATATAAGGGGAAGGACCGAAATTCTAAAGGTTC